ATGGGCTCCCACACAGCAAGGGCAGTGGGGCTGGGGCAGGACCGGGCAGTGTGTGCTCGGCCGTGAGTCACAACTGACTCAGTGACACCTAACAACATACAGGGCAGTGGATTTCTAAATCAGGTCCGTCCAGTTGTGGTCTTTGTAACTCCCACCAAATAAACTGGGTGGGACTAAGCTAATGTGAGTTTTCTGGCCTACCCAGGGAACCAGATAGCTTGCTAGTAATGTAAACAGCATACATGGCACCTCTGTGGGGTTGTTGTTAAGTGCTGTGGGGTCACAGAGACACTATATGGTGTTTCTGAGGAGCGGCTGGTAGGTTTGAACCACCAGCCTTGCAGTTAGCAGTCCAGTGTGCTTGTCCTACATACAAATTTGGTATATGGAACCTAATATGGTCCTTGATCAGTTTTGCCATCCTGCTGGGCTTTAAATGAGTCATCCCAGAGGTGGAAAGGGGGCCTCATAACCATTAACAAGAGCTAGAGGAGGAACCCGTCCCTTGGACCTGAGACCCCTGCACTGAACCTCCTTGGTCCAGAAGACAGAGAAATGTGACAGCAGAGACAGTGAGGGGAAGCACACGCAGAGTGAGCTGGGGCGTGATCAGAGTGCGTCTGCGGGGGTAGGGAGAGACTTACCATCGGAGTGGGGGGCCTTGGGGCATTTACCGGGACAGCTATTAGAGCTCGGTAGCACTTACCGGAGCAGGGTTGGAGCCGAGAACCAATTGGTAGGGGAAGCTACCATCTGTGGGGTTCTGACTGAACGCCTGTCAGAAGCCTGCCCAGGCCCCCTGGATGGTGTTGCAGTGAATGTATTTGGGTGCTCGCTAGATGGGTGGAGAGTCTCCACCCCGGTTTTGCTTCTCCTCCCCATGTGAGAAGTCAGATGTTGTCTCTGTGCCACGTGGACACAACCATCTGTATGAGGATAGGTCACCAGATCTTTCTCCTGGGTCGGTTTGAACTGCTGGCCTCTGGGTTAGCAGCCGAGTACTTAACCGTGCAGGAAAGAGATGATGGAAAAGCTCCACATCATCAGTGAAAACAAGGCCAGGGACAGACTGGAACAGACCATCAATTGCTCATATACAAATTCAAACTGAAGCTGAAGAAAATGAAAACAAGTCCACAAGAGCCAAAATATGACCTTAAATATATCCCACCTGAATTTGGAGATTATCTGAAGAACAGATTTGATACATTAAAAACTAAAGACCACAACAGAAGAGTTGTGGGATGACATCAAGAACATCATGCAGGAAGAAAGCAAAAAGTCATTGAGAAGATAAGAGAGAAGGAAAAGGTCAAAATGGATGTCAGAAGAGACACTGAAACTTGCTCTCCAGAGTAGAGATGCTAAAGCAAATGGAAGAAATGAGGAGGTCCAAGAGCAGAACAGAAAATTTCAAAGATCAGCTCCAGAAGATAAAGGCAAATATTACAACAAAATGTGCAAAGAAATGAAATCAGACAACCAAAAAGGAAGAACACGTTCAGCATTTCTCAAGCTGAGAGAATGGAAGAAAAAATTCAAGCCTCAACTTTCATTATTGAAGGATTCTCTGGGCAAATTATTGAATGATGCAGAAAGCATCAAGAGAAGATAGAAGGAATACACAGAGTCACTGTATCAAAAGGAAATGATTAATGTTCAACCATTTCAAGCGGTAGCATATGACCCAGAGCCAATGATACTGAAGGAGGAAGTCCAAGGTGCATTGAAGGAATTGGCAAAGAACAAGTCACCAGGAATTGATGGAATAAAAATTGAAATCTTTCAAGAAAGTGAGGCAGCACAGGAAGCACTCACTCATCTCTGCCAAGAAATTTGGAAGACAACTGTTTGGAAGATCCATATTTGTGCCCATTCCAAAGAGAGGTGACCCAACGGAATGCGGAAATCATTAGACAATCCCTTTGATATCCCATGTCTTGAATAAAGTTTTGCTAAAGGTAATACAGAAACGGCTACAATCATACATTGACAGAGAACTTCTAGATGTTCAAACTGGATTCAGAAGAAGCTGTGGAATGAGGGATAATCATTGCTGCTGTCCGATGGATCTTGGATGAAAGCAGAGAATATCAGAAAGATGTTTACCTGTGGTTTATTGACTAGGCAAAGGCTTTCGATTGTGTGGTTCATGACAAGCTAAGGACAACATTGCAAAGTATGAGTATTCTGGAACACTTAATTGTGCTCATGAGGAATCTGTACCTAGACCAGGAGGCAGTTGTTCAAAACAGAGCATGGGAACACTGAATGGTTTCAAACTAAGAAAGGTGTGTAACAAGGTTGTATTCTTTCACCATACTTATTCAACCTGTACACTGAGCAAATAATCTGAGAAGCTGGGTTCTATAAAGAAAAACGTGGCATCAGGATTAGAGGAAGACTCATTAACAACCTGCGATATGCAGATGATCCAACCTTGCTTGCTGAAAGTGAAGAGGACTTAAAACATTTACTGATGAAGGTCAAAGAGCACAGCCTTCGGTATGGATTACATCTCAATGTCAAGAAGACAAAAATCCTCACCACTGGACCAATAAACAACATTCTTATCAATGGAGAAAAGATTGAAGTTGTCAAGGACTTCATTCTTCTTGAACCAACTATCAACACTCACAGAAGCAGCAGTCAAGAAATCAATGATGTATTGCATTAGGCAAATCTGCTGCACAGGAACTTTATAAAGTGTTGAAGAGCAAAGATGTCAGCTTGAGAACTAAGGTGCTCCTGACCCAAGCCATGGTATTTTCAATAACCTCTTATGCATGTGAAAGCTGGACAGTGAATAAGGAAGACTGCAGAAGAATTGATGCCTTTGAGTTATGGTGTTGGAGGAGAATATTGAAAGTGCCATGGGCTGACATGACAAAAGAACCAATAGATCCATTTTGGAAGAAGTGCAGCCAGAGTGCTCCTTGGAGGCCAGGATGGCCAAACTTTGTCTCTCATATTTCAGACATATTGTCAGGAGGGACCAGTCGCTGGAGAAGGTTATCATGTTTGGTAAGGTGGAGGGTCAGAGAAAAAGAGGAAGACCTCCAGTGAGATGGATTGGACAAGTGGCAGCATCGATGGACTCAAGTGTGGCAACAGTAGTGAGGTTGGCCCGGGATCACGCAGTGTTTCATTCTGCTGTGCATAAGGTCACTATGGCTTGGTATTGACTCAATGGCACCTAACTAAGGGCACCTTTGTAAAAAGTCCTTTTAGAAATGTTACAATACTGGGTGTTTGTTGTCTGAAACCTGACTGCGGGCATATCAGCTGGGGTCAGTGTGCCAGGGCCACCCATAGCTCCCACTTCCACTTGGGGACTGACTCCAGCCTCCGCCCCACTAAGCACGTCCCTTCAGTGAGGACCAGTGCCTGTGGACTGGAGTCTACCTCAGGGACCGCGGCCTAGTTTTGACAGTGAGAACACCAATGCTCAGACACAGGGACCGTTCCCTGAAAACTTCCGGCGGCAGTGTGATCACTGAAGAAATCACCGTGTCCCCATTTTGAGGACTCTGTAAAACTATAAAAATGGCTGTGAATTAAGCTCAAGAAATCTTGCTCTCCCAACCGGACAGTGCACACCTGGGCTGAAACCCCGTCCTCCTTGCCAGCGGAGGAGCGGTTTGACCCGATTGCCATCCTGGCATGTTCCAAGGAAGCAGGACTCCTGCTTCTCTGCTTCACCCTCCGGGTCCTCCAGGCGTGCGCGGTGCGGCAGGCACACCCCAGCTGGACTTGTCCACTGTCTTCTCAGGTCACAGGAGCACCACCAAGGTGATGCCAGGATGTGCCCTGGGAAGCGTGAGCACGTACATCAGCGTGAAAGTTCCTGGGGACCTTGGACAGCACATCTCCAGCGGGAGTGGCGCCCCCTCCCCACCCTCACCCCATGCGGCTCCTAACCCACTGGGCTGCGGACTCTCAGGACCCCCAAGTCACACAGCATGGACATGCATATCCTAGTCTGAGGAATCCTTTTCCACTGGAGATTAGTATGAAAGAATCGCATTAATTTTATAGCGATTAGCAGTTTCTGAGCTGGGCCAATAAAAACATTTTTAAACAGTGAACATTTCAGCTCACACGCTACTGTACTCCTGAAGACAGCACGCTGATGATTGAAGCCTCGGGCCTGCAGCTGCTCAGACACTGAGGGGACAGGCGTCCAGTGAGGCTTCTCAGGACTTCCCGGAGCACCGACACGGCTCCATCACACGGCCCCCCACCTCCACAGGAGGCACCCCTCATTCACTCACAGTATGAACTGGATTTTCACGCAAATAACATACAGGTCACATGGTGGTGGTTGTGCGCGGTGGACTCGGTTCCAACACATAGCGACCTTGTACAGGGTTTCTTAGGCTGTAAATCTTTACTGGAGCGGAAAGCCTCATCTTTCTCCCAAGGAACATGTTACACGGCTGTGTGCAAAGTGTGTGGCCCCTCATATGTACACTCAAGGTGTGCTGTGCACGCTACATCCATGTGCCCATGGTTTACATAGGAATGTTGTGAAGTGCCTTCAAGTTAGTTCTGACTCATAGCAACCCTGTATAGGGTTTCCAAGGAGCAGTGGGTGGGTTTGAACCACTGGCCCTGTGGTAGCAGTCCAATGAGTACCCTATAGCATGTTAGATGTGAAAAAACACAAGCATTTACTGCGCAGACAAATACGTTTCTCTCAGCGAGCTAGCACACACTTGAGCGTGCACATAGACTTCTGGGACCGTGACACTCAAAACTGTACGAATTACGATTCCCTGCAAATGACCACACTGCTGGTTTTCATTCTGTTTTTTAGTTGGAATCAGGACAAAGGCTGGTCACACTCAGAGATGAGGAAGCACCGCCCTGGCGGTTTAGACAAACCATTCTTCTTCCTGATCAGCCGTGTCCTGAGTCCACAGCCACCTTCAGTGACCCTCCGAGTACCACAGCATCGCTGGTGACCAAGGCCTGACCACAGACTCAGCTGGCCAGTCTCACTGGACGTCATCATCATCAAAGAGGTCTTCGAAGTCTAGGTGAGTGAAGAGAAGCAGCAGATTAGCTGGGCAGGACGGTTCCAATGCTGAAGGCAGTACACAAGGGGACTCGGACTCAGCTCAGACTGGGACTGGGGCACATGGGTTACACGGGTCACACTGGGGCACACTGCTCAGGGCTTTGCCTTAGCCTCGTTTTTACTTAGATGACTAAGTGAACGTCACTGGTCTGGGCCATCTGGATAAGCACCTCATCATTGTTCCTAGCGGTGCCCACTCCATGCCCACGTGTGCAGGCCATCCACGGCTGGGGCAGGCGAAATAAAAGGAACTGAGGTCCAGCAGAAGGGAGGCCAGTCACACTGGGAACATACTCATCACCTCACACCATAGGGCTTGCAGAGGCTGGGTGGGGGCTCACAGAGCCATCAGGACAGTGAGCCAAGGGCAGCCCTACTGCCCCGTGGAGCCAGGATGGTCCTGTGAGGCTGTGCAGTTTGTTCCCTGACCAAATGCCCTCCTCCCCATCCCCTTGAGGCCCATATTAACTGTCACTCCGTCCATTCTGACACTAGCAGGGGGCGGCCAGCTCCCCAGGGAGACTGACCAACTAGACAGCCTGGCTCTTCCCTGGTGCCCAGGGTTCTGCCTGCAGGTAAACCCACTGTGCTGAGACAGATGTCCTCACTGGGGACAGAACCTGGACACAGAGCCGGATGGCAAAGGGGGAGAAAAACACTTAACTTCCGAATAAGAAAACTGCCTTTATCACTTGTTATTTGAACCCTTACCAAAAAAGAGAAAAAACAACAACAAAAACCCCACTGCGGTGGACTTGATTCCAAATCACAGTGATCCAACGGGAGAGAGTGGACCTTGCCCCCTGGGCTCCCGACGCTGACCCTCCTCTTTCTCCTGAGAGCAGCTGGTGGGTTATCTGGGGAGCATTTAAGCAGTGCGCCAACAAGGATCTTTCAAGGGGCGTGTACCCGGCACAGGCCCAGGAGACCCGAAACGGACGGCCCGTAATGCTGCTGAAGACTGCGTATAAAAGCAGCGGCTGTAACAGTCCTCAGACAGAAGGCTGGAGGACCAACAGCTGCCCCCACACGTGCCTGCGCCTGGTGGGAACCAGCGTCTGACTCAGGGGCTGGGGAGAGAGATGCGGGACTGGCACTGGCGGTGACTATAGAGGGAGCGCAGGGGCCCAGGTGGAGCTAAGCAAGGGCTGAAAACCAGCCATCAGGGGCAAGTGGGGCCCCGGAGAGCAGGTGGACCCTGGGACAGCGTCTGGACCCCGGACGGACCCACCACACCTCTGCCGAGCACAAGCAGCACCCGCCTTTCCTCCGCAATGCTTCGCCTATTCAAGAACGGGCTCATTTATTCCGACTGGAACCACTGGTCACAACGGGCAGGAGAAACACCAGGTTCTAAGTGCCAGCCCCGCCGGCGGCGCCTCACCATTAAAAAAGTCCGCGTGTACGGCCTTCTCGTTGGCTGCCAGGTCCATCAACAGCCCGGTACTGCCTCCGGCCTGCGGGGAGAGGACACATCAGGACCGGGCTGCGGCAGTGGGGCGGCCTCGGAAGGGACGGTGCCTGTCCGGGGTCTGGCCTTCCTGGGCCGCTGGCCACCGCCTGGACCCCGTCAGGAGGCCAGTGCGCTCCTCCCACTGCCCCCACGGGCCCCTTTCCCGATGCTCCCCTCCTCCCGGGGCTCCCCATCACCGGCCTTCCCCAGCGGAGCTGAACGTGCTCCCGCGCCCTCCGTCCCGGGAAACGAAGCCAGGACCCGCTGCGGCCCGCGTGCCAGGCAGTCCGAACCACTCAGCTGGCCCTGGGCCCGGGCCCGCCAGCAGCCGCGCGCCCTCCATCAGCGCCGATCCAGGCTTTCCTGGGGGGCTTCTGGGCAAGTACCTGGGGCGTCTCTGGCACCTGGGGTCTCTGATACCTGGGGGGTCTCTGACACCTGGGGCCTCTGGCACCTGGGGTCTCTGATACCTGAGGGTCTCTGACACCTGGGGCCTCTGGCACCTGGGGTTTCTGATACCTGGGGGTTTCTGATACCTGGGGGTCTCTGACACCTGGGGGTCTCTGATACCTGGGGGTCTCTGACATCTGGGGTCTCTGATACCTGGGACCTCTGACACCTGGGGTCTCTGATACCTGGGGGTCTCTGACATCTGGGGTCTCTGA